TTTCTGTCAATATGGGGTGCTGTGTGTACATTAATGAGGAAAAAATGAACTTAAATGATTTTAGCATATGGCTGCAATATAACAAAGAGTGAAAAATTTAAGGGGGTCTGAATACTTTCCGTACCCACTGTATGTCTGTCCTACAGACATGTTTAAGGCCTTTATTTACTTGGCTTTAATTTGTCTCTGATGTGGTTTCCACAAAAAGTGCAAATACCTTATTAAAAATGTATTTTTTCCTCGGTTACTGAAAAACCTCTGTTCATCAGACATACAGTATGTAAAACATCACAGTAACGGTAAAACATCCAAGTGAAGTAACAATGAGCAAAACCCATGTTTTGAGTGGAAAGCACCTTCAGGTGCCTTCATTACATTTGTAAAACCAGGCCAAAGATCTGTATAATCAATATAGAACTGAAGTACGACTTGACTTTCTGGAACTTCCACATTTCCTGTAATTTTTTTTAATCTCACCATTTAAACCCTTTCTTCTTTTTTTAAAGATGCACTTGGATTTTATTTGTCTGAGAAACTGATGAGTTCTGTATTTGTCTACTTGGTCCTGTGAAATGAGAGAATTAAAAATATTGAAACTTTTTCTAGTACAGAACTAGTGGTTACGTTCATGTTCCATCAACGATGACATTTTAGGAGTCATGGGAGCTACTTTGCACACATGTTTCAGAAATCAGTGTTTTATTTTGAAACATAAAGATAAAATGATTTAACAAAACTGGAGTAAAAAAAAAGCTTCAGTTACAATATCTATGCATTTATAAATATCTAGTAACCACAGAAATGTGCATGTGAAAACTAAATATTTTGCCGCAGTTCTCTTTATAACACCTATGGACTCCTGATATCAGATAATAAAGATGGAGTATTGAATGTGAATAATAGTTAACTGAACAAAAACTTCCCACAAATCACGCTGTGTGAAAAAACTGAAAGCCATAGCAAACACAACTCATCAAAGCTTTAGCTCCGGCTGAAATTACACATATCTGTTGTCTTTCCTGCCGCCCTCTGAGTGCTCATCACCGGGGTCGGTTTTGGTGTGGGACTGAGGCTTGTAAACAACCCCAGGGTAACTGAAAGGCAGGAGACAAGACGTGGCATAAATGTTCCAAAATTCTATTCTGTTACTTCTGTTCAAGCACATTAAAAAGATGTCAAGTAAAAACCGAGTATAATTCAGTCCAAAGTAAATTCACAGTCATCAGCAGTCAGTTTATTCTCACTATAAACATGAGGTGCCTCACCGTGGTTTTTCATCTTTCACCATTTCCTTGAAAGCCACTGACTTCAGGATGCCACCAACAATCAGGACGCCCCCTCCGATCCAGGCTACAAACAGGGCAGGGCCAAATGTGTATCTGGTCAACACACACAACACAGTTCAGCAATGTAATGTACTGTAGATGCTGTGTGCAAATAATATGGAGATTATAAAAATGCAATCAAAATAATAAACTTGTAACCTACGTAGGTATTCCTCCCATTCCACCACCCATTCCCATCCCTCCCTCCATCATTCCTCCTCCTCCATATCCTCCACCATAGTTGTTGTAGGCAGCCATCCTGAAACTGGTCACGATCTCATTGGCATAGATAGAAGCTCCTGCAATGCCACATACTCCTGAGAGACACATAGACATGAATTACTCCAAGGAGAAACAGTTAATACAAACAGGCCTTTAATAATAAGAAACTTAATAATTTGAGATTTAAAAATAAAAACATGGACCATATAGCAGTTTATGAAGAAGGTCACTGATGATATCTATGCCAGGTTGCTAAATTTGTTTAAATTTCAGCTACTCCTTTTTTTTATTTAAAGATCTAAATATCTGTATCCATACCAGCGATGAAGAACATGATGCCAGCGGTGAGGCTCATCTTGGCCTTGGTGGTGTCCTCCATGCTGTTCACTGTGAGGCAGGTCAGGGAGAAAACCGATATCACCGCCCCGAGCACACTCAGCACCACACCCACTATCATCAGAGCTCGCACGGCCTGGAAGGAAACTAAGTGGACAGGAGACACACACCCAGAGGTGCTACATCAGTGAAGTTAAGTTGGATTTATCCCAGGCTGAGCCAGGGTTTTTGAAATGCCCGTGTTGCGAGTCCACATGGGCCCCCACCAACCAGAAACTAAGCCTAACGCTAAGTCTCTAAAATGTTTCAAATGATTTTCATTATCCATATTTATGGCTGAGTTTCCGTTGGCCTTAAGTGACCAAACCACAGGTTACTTTTTGAAGTTATTGAGTGTAAATCCCTCAGGAAATGACCTCAGTGTCCTACAGATGTTTCTAAAGCTACTGAATCAGTGATGTCCATAATGTGATTTTTTCCTTCAGAATGTCAGTGTACTGTAATTGTATTATAATCTGCAGTATGACTCGTATTTTATTGTGAAAGCTCATATTGCAAGTTGATGATGATGATGTTCACCAGTGGTGGAAGAAGTCCTCAGATCCTTTACTTAAGTAAACGAACTTAAGCACAGTGTAAAAATACTCTGTTACAAGTAAGAGTCCTGCATTCAAAATGTTACTTAAGTAAAAGTAAAAAAGTATTAGCATCAAAATATACTTGAGGCACTAAAAATAAAAGTACTCACATTATGGAGAATGGCGCATTTAATGTTCATGTATCATATTAGACTATAATTACTGATGCGTTATTGCGTACATCACAATTAATGTAGCAGCTGGTAAAGAAGGAGCTGATTTTAACTAGCTGACATGCTTATAATGTGAAGTACCACTGGGTAGCTTGTGAATTTTCTACTGGGAAAAAATAAAGTCTTTATGAATATGCTGTGTTTTCTCTATTAATTTGATTCTGTAAAGTAACTAAAGTTATCAAATGTGGTAAAAAGCATCATATTTGTCTCTAAAATATAGTGAAGTAGACGTATGATATAGCACAAAATGAAAATACTGAAGTATAGATACCTCAAAATTGTACTTAAATATAGTCCTTGAGTAAGTGTACTTAGTTACTGTTCACCCCTGATGTTCACCAGTGTACCTAATTAGATTTGTATTCTCCTACAGTAGGTGTGTTGTAGGAACCTGCCCTCTGCATAGTATTTGTTCTGTTTCTGATAAGTGTATTGACTGAGTGTCGGCCTGGCTCTCCACTGTAATGACCAGAATGCACTGGTGCTAATGCAAATACTGATAAGAGTAGGCTCAACACCGGAACAGGGTTGGTGGATGACAGAAACAAATTAATAACAACAGTTTTAAAACAATAAAAATGATGCTAGTGCACAGCACATAGGGAATGTTTTTTGCTTTCAGCTTTTTGTGAATTGATCTGATTTATCCCTTCAGCACCTTAGTGAGAAAAAGTACTGACAGAGTTCTTCCCTCTCGTTTTTTATTCTTCTTCACCAAATCAAATGTTTTAATACAAAATATTTGTTTCAGAATGTCACTGGAGCTATAAGATGCTTATGAATAACACTTTTAAACATTTAAACCCAGGAGTCCCTCATGTTTTGGAAGTATTCTTGTACCTCTTTTCTCAGAATTAAAATAGCACTGGCAAGTTTCAAGAGGAAAAACCAACATGTGCTGGCATCATCTTTTAGTTTCACAGGGCATTTAAAAATATTAACTGTGAAAGAAACACAGGCAGAGAAAGAGAGACGAGCTCTCTCGGACCTTGACAAGTAGCGAGAGAACTTCCTCCTAATCCCGGTACTGGATACTTATGTTTAACACAGTTTAGTTACAGCCTTTTAACACTTAGATACTTGCTGCTTGTTCCTCAACAAACATCTTAAAAAATATCTTCTAAGAGCAGAAATGGGAGAGTTTCCACAACAAGAAAAACTCAATAAGTTATACCCTTGACAATGAAGGAGACTAATTATGGGCACAGTTCAATAATGCATAATTATTAGGACAGTAAAAACATTAAACTGATTCAGATGTAAAACTGTTAGTAAGTCACATCTTACCTGGGAAACCCAAGAGGCCATAGAGAGGGCGACACTCAGTAAATCCAGAGGACTGGGTCTCACAGTTCTGCCACAGACCTTTGTAGGTGTAAACGGATGTCACCACGTCCCCCTGCCTGTCCTTGATACTCCAGTTGTTCATGGTAGTGGCTGCGATCAGGGCCGCAGCACCGATCAAGCCCAGAATGAATCCGCCGTTCTGCAGGACTTGAGGAGCCATTGTCGTCTCCTCCTTCAGAAGTCAGACGTGGAAGCACAGAGCGCGTGTGTGTGTGCAGCAATGTTTTGTGCCCAGTTTAAATAGATAAAGATCCTAGCATTTAATGTATGGCTGCATATGTGACGAAGGTGTCAAAGGTGAGCAGATGTGGTGTTCAGGCAGAGAATGAAACTGGGCAAAGCAGGACTGTGTGGTGACGGAAGCGCTGGGTGGAGGTGGCTGGGTTTCACCCAGTGGGTGATAACGCGGTACGGGTTGGGCTACCTTCTGTTAAGAGGTGTGGACACAGTGGTGATAGGTGCACCTGGTACCTAAATGAGAACTAATTGTTTAAATGTAAATATGGGAAACTGAAGCACTGAGTAGTGAACCGCCAGCTGTTGATCACTGAGTAAATGACAGTATGAGATCATTTTAACACACTACCAGAAAGGAAGTAAGTCAAACGCAGAAAAGATAATACACTTCACAAAGGGAGATTCTCAGTGATCCTGGGCACAAATTTAGAAGTTCACCAAATAAGTAAATGGAAACGTTCTGTCACATCCACAGGGAGGTCAGAGGTCAAGCTTAGCTACAGAGCTGCATCCCTGAGCCTCTGAATTGATAAAAATCTGGTGTTTAGTTAAGGATGCCAAGTGAAAATCCACAAAATGGGGCATCCTGGTGGCCAAGGCTTCAAGCTGCCGACCAGATAATAAAGACAAAACTACCCCCCAAAAGCCCTCTGCCCATGAACCAAACACACAGATGTAGCATCAGCGATCAGGTCATTCCTTGTTTTTTTGTTTCAAAATAGGACATGCATTGTGAGTTGGCGTACAGGCAAACTACGCTGGTTTCAGTGTGAGGACTCATTCCCTGTTACTAACTGAAACAAACAGTACCTCACACTGTACAATTTTCATGATTCAACTTTTTACCTTATCACTCTGTCAACACCTAGGGAGAAGTTTCTATTCTTCTGTTATCGCCAGTCTGACTCGCTCTCACTCACAAACGCACACAGACACACAGCTAAACTCGTACAGCAGTCACCAAACATGATGGGACCAGAAAAGTTAATCTTACAGTATATTGGTCATTTGCTGAGGATGTCTGTTTTTAAGTTGTCTTGTATTAATATCTATGATCTTTTGTGTAAATCTTTGTTGTGCACCTTATCAGGAGACTGGACGCCTGTTTGTTCAAACAAGAGCACCTAGGAACATGAAAATATACTGTACTGCTCTGACAGCAAACTTACACCAATGAAGTTATGATTAGTGGTGATGTTGGACATAAAATGAGCAGCAGCAGTAAAACAAAACAAAACAAAACAAAAAGTAGTGATCTGATCATTCCACTAATGAACAACTTCACATTAACATTGTTCACTGAATAGCGACTGACTTGTAGTTGCTCATATAAGGTTTTTAATGCAGTTATTATGAAAACAACATGTTCTGGTCTATGACACGGGAAACATTTATTATCTCCAATTCAAGGTCAAAATGAAAACAGGGTGACATGCTGAGAGATATTCTGGGGGTTTTACTGTGGAAATGCTGATGCTGGAATCAATAACACAAAATCAGACACTACCTTTTTTGGCTCCAAATAATGGGTTTAAAAAAAAAGATTGCCTCTTGCATACTTCTTTTACCCTCTTGTAACCACAGGAGTTTGACATTTGTCTGTCTGACAGTAACACAAATAAAAAGCTGTCAGGTGTTGTGTTAATTTTGATCAGTAAATGTGAAATTGAAGCAAACGTGCACTTTAGTTTGAACTGTTTTGAGTTCATGTTCTTGTCAAAGATGAACAACATAGCATTTTCACATTATGCTCCAAACCTTTACACGATATTTACATGTAATAACGTCTTGGGGGCTTGTCGCGGGTTTATGGTGCTCCTAGGTAAACAGCAGTTTATCGCATTTTGAAATGTTTTAATACCTCTGGAAAGGTTCAGCCACAATATTCCCAGAAGACATTAAATCAGAGGTGACCGTTTTGCCCGGGTCTTTTTCTTTTGTCGTATTACATGAGGAGGTCGCAAACTTTTCCCGACATGACCGCGCGTCTTGGTACCCGGTGTGTCACACACTAGAGCTGGGTGAAGTAAACGAGTACATGCCGCTCTTGCTCATCCCTCCAGGGAAGAGAATATAAGCCACCTGAGGCGGTAAACTGGCAGCAGACCAGGAACTACAGTTACACCTCACTACGTATCCCAGGCTGGATGCTGACGGGCGGATGTGGGTGTGCTGTCCTGGGCAAGCCAGCCCCCCAATCCCCCCGGTCTGATATCCAAACGCGTGCGCGCCGTAAGGCAGAGCCCCTGCAGTCAGCGTGTGCGGTATCTCTGTCACCTGCTGGACACCTCCGGTGCTGAACTGCACCACCGGCTCCAGGAGCGAGAAGGACGGCGAGGAGGAAGTGGGAACGAGGAGAGCTCTGGCCTTATCCCCGGAGACGAGAAGGGAATCCACTGAAACCCCCTTTAAGTGCTCTGCCTCCCCGAGTAGAGACGGCAGCGGGAAAACAAAACGGTCCCTCTTCAGACTCTTAGGTTTGCGCCGGGGTCTGTACTTGTAGTCCGGGTGCTGCTTCATGTGTTGAGCCCGCAGCCTCTTGGCCTCGTCGATGTACGGGCGCTTCTCAGAGTCGGAGAGCAGCTTCCACTCCGCGCCGAGTCTCTTGCTGATTTCAGAGTTGTGCATCTTCGGGTTTTCCTGGGCCATCTTTCTCCTCTGGCCTCTGGACCACACCATGAAGGCGTTCATGGGTCTCTTGATGTGATCTAAAGGTTTTGCCATTTCAGGAAGTGGCACATTAAGAAAAACACGCTGCTCCTATTTTAAAGTAAGTCACCTCTCCAGACAGACCCTCTCGCGCGTAAAGAAACGATAGATGAGACGCCACCAAGATAGATTCGGCAAAAAGATATCTGTCAGTGTCTTTACTGAAAAAATACAAGAAACAACAGCTTCGAATTGACTGAAGCATTTGCACCAAGTGGAAAATGAAAACTACATTATGCGCAAAGCCTGCGCGTAGAGAGGACCAAGTTGGGAGCAGGTTATGGATGATGCCGGGCATGTCAACCACTCATCACCACACCGCTGTCACAGTGGGCCAATGGGAGTGAGAGATAGCACTGTAATCCCTTCACAAAACGTTACTGTACAACATTTCTTAGGGACTCCCTCCTCCCCCGTCTCCTACAGTTTAGTCTCTCCAAAGCTCTACCGAGAGAAAGAGACAGGAGACCAGGGAAGAATGTATTCTGCAGTATAACATGAGCAGAAACACGTTTTGTAAGAGCTACATATGGAGGGAGAGGGGGTCCTATACTGTATGGAGGTTCTCTTGCACTGCAGCTCCTCATGGCCCTATAATGACCATATGGCCCATTTGCTCCGTAATGAATTTTGCAAGTTTGTTTCAAAAGATCTCAGAGGAAGGTTGTATACTTTGGCAATTTGAGACAGTCTAATTAAACCAGAGCTGTAGCCAGGATTTCAGAAATACTGAGGTCAGTAATTAATATTTAAAGATATTATATTATATTATATTCAACTTTATTGTCATTACAAATGTACAAGTACAAGGCAATGGAATGCAGCTTAGCATCTAACAGAAGTGCAATAACAGCGGCAATAAGTGTGCAGTATCCACAGTATGAACAGTCAGAAGTAATTTACCAGTGGATATGTACTATTGATATTTGCAGTAAGATATGTAGGTTAATATACAATACACTACAGGCTATGGATTTAAATTACAGTAAAGGACATTAAGCTTATAGAACACTTGTGCAATGGGATGAGATGGAATGAAACAGCGCAGAATAAAAGGATAAGTTACATTAGTTAACAGTTCAATGGATGTAAGTAAAGATAAAGATAATTATACAGTATCAGCATATGAACAGTGTGCAAATGAATACAGAGCAGTATTCTGTGAGTATGTGCAAATGAACAGATCACTTCAGTGTTACAGGTAACAGGAGAGTATTGCATTAGTCCCGGGAGGAGAGATGAGACAGGGTGAGGTGTGTGTATTGGTATAGAGGAAGGCAGTGGGGGTCAACAGGGGACAGAGTTCAGTAAGGAGACGAAGAAGCTGTTCCTAAGTCTACTGGTTTTGGTCCGGATGCTCCTGAAGCGCCTCCCAGAGGGCAGGAGGTCAAACAGTTTGTGAGCAGGGTGAGAGGAGTTCTTGAGAATGCTCTGAGCACGTCGGAGACAGCGTTCCCTGTGGACGCCCTCAATGGCTGGAAGTGGAGTCCTTGTGATGCATTGGGTAGTTTTCACCACCTGCTGCAACGCCTTGTGGTCAGAGATAGAGCAGTTTCCATACCAGACTGTGATACAGCTGGTCAAGATGCTCTCGATGGCACAGCGGTAGAAGTTCACCAGGATGGCTGAAGACAGGTGGTTCTTCTTCAGTGTCCTCAGGAAGACGAGGCGCTGGTGAGCCTGAAAATAATTATATTTCCAGAAAATTTCTCTGGAAGAGAGAAATCTGTTCAAGGAAAAGCTTTAAAACAACAAGACTGATCTAAAATAAGTGCCACACAATAAGTACCAGATTACATTAGGAAGCTAAGGAAGGTTTTCATAATTACTGTACCTTATCTGATCAAATATATGCTTTAGCCATCCTGTGTTACTGAAGTGAGGCTGATGGAGACTGAGCAGTAACCATAAATCATACTGTATACTGTTTGTGTATCAGTAAAAATGCAGGTGTTTATAGGTGATAATAGGTTTAATGTATAGAATAATTTCTCAGGAAGCTCATTGTACAAGGAGGAATTTGACACAGTCTTTTGTGGTGTCTAAACTTCCAGGCCACCCCAAGGTTCCCAAAATGGCAATAACAAAAAGGATTACAACCTCAAATCAGAAAAAGTTGGGACAGTATGTAAAATCTAAATTAAAACTGAGAATAGTGATTTGTAAGTTGTCTGCGTCCTGTATTACATTGAAGACAACACAGCAGCTCATTATTTAATGTGATACTTCATCAACTTTATTCTGTGATCAAAATAAACACTTCAATTGTGATGCTGCAACACATTCCAGAAAAAGTTGGGATGGCTGCATTTCAGGGCCAGTAATGAGGTAAAACAATGAAATGATGATTCCATTTGAAACAGATGATGTGAACAGGTGACTGCATCATGATTTGGTACAAAACGTGGCATCCAGGAAAGGCTGAGCCCTTTAAGAGCAAAGACGGGCTGAGGACCACCAATTTGCCAACATACAGTATGTGTGAGAAAATTATTGGAATGTTTAAAAACATTGTTCTTCAAAGATAGGAAGGAATTTGGATGTGTCACCATTTACAGTGCATAATGCAATTAATAGATTCAAGGAATCTGGAGGGATTTCGGTGCGTAAAGGCTGCAAACCTAAGCTGGATGACTGAGCTCTCCAATCCCTCAGATGGCATCAAGAATCGTCACTCTTCTATAAGCCATATAACCACATGGGCTGAGGATTACTTTGGCACGCCTGTGTCAGGCACTACAATACGTAGTTACATCCATCAATGTTGATTAGAACTGTGCTGTGGCAAAAGGAAGCTCTATGCCAACAGTGTCCAGAAGTGCAGTCGACTGCTCTGGGCGCGGAGGCATCCGGGGTGAACCATCACACAGTGGAAACCTATACTGTGGTCAGACAAATCAGTTCAGTTCTTTTTTAGAAGGAATGGACACTGTGTGCTCTGGACATGTCTTAAAGACATAAAGGCCTGGATGACCTGCAACTTCTTACTTCTAAACTCTGACAAAACTGAAGTTTTTGTGCTTGGGCCTGAAAACCTTAGAAATCTGCTGTCTAATCATATAGTTACTTTAGATGACATAGCTCTTGCCTCCAGTACTACTGTGAGGAACCTTGGAGTCATCTTTGATCAGAATATGTCCTTTAAATCACACATAAACCAAGTCTCTAGAACTGCCTTCTTTCACCTGCGCAATATTGCAAAAATCAGGAGCATCCTGTCTCAAAGTGATGCTGAAAAACAGGTCCATGCATTTGTTACTTCCAGGCTGGACTACTGTAACTCTTTACTATAAGTATATCCCAATAATTCCCTAAAAAGCCTCCAGTTAATCCAAAAGGCTGCAGCCAGAGTACTGACAGGAAATAGCAAGAGAGATCATATCTCTCCCATATTAGCTTCTCTCCACTGGCTCCCTGTAAAATTCAGAATAGAATTTAAAAACCTTCTCCTAACATACAAAGCCCTTAATGACAAGGCTCCATCGTATCTTAAAGACCTCGTAGAGCCTTATCATCCGAGCAGAGCACTTTGCTCTCAGAGTGCAGGTTTACTTGCGGTTCCTAGAGTCCACAGAAGCAGAATGGGAGGCAGAGCCTTTAGCTATCAAGCTCCTCTCCTATGGAACCAACACCCAGTCTCAGTTCAGGAGGTGGACACCCTCTCTACCTTTAAGATTAGACTTAAGACGTTCCTTTTTGATAAAGCTTACAGTTAGGGCTGGATCAGGTGACCCTGAGCCTTCCCTTAGTTATGCTGCTATAGGCCTAGGCTGCTGGGGGCCCCATGATGCTCTGAGTTTCTTTCCCCTCCCCTCCTACTCT